TCTCTCCCCACCATGGAATTCATTCAGATCGTCCAGCGGCCGGCATACTCCCAAAGGCCCTACGGCGTGCTCAGATCCCCCTACATTGAGCACCCTGGCTGTTCCGTGCTGTGCAACCACCCAACAGCGCCGCATAGTCACAGGGCGCTGCTCAACGTCACGCGGGCGTCATGGGTGAGTGAAAGTGTTGGTGATTCATGCTGGATGCGTTATTTATTATATATTTTTTTTATTTATTTATGATAGATGTTATTTATTATTTATGATAGATGTTGTTGTTGTTGTTGTTAGTGGTGGTGTTGTTATCATTATAGTCATCAGTATTGTGGTTATTGTCATCATGATCATTGTCATCACTGTTATTATCGGTATTGCTATCATTATCGTATTTATTTCTATTGATTATTATTGTTAGCGTTATCATTATCATCATTTCTATTATTACTATTGTTTTTATTAAAACTTTTATCATTAACATTATCATCATCATTATCTTCATCATAATTGTTATTATTATTGTTATTGTAATCATTTTTGTCATCATTATCATCATTATTATCATTGTCATGATTTCTATTATCGTTATTGTCAATATAAGTTATCATCATTATTATTATTATCCTCATTTTCATTATTAAAGCATATGTCATTATTATGGTTATTATTTTTTTATCATTATTATTATTATTATTATCATTATTATTATTATTATTATTATTATTATTATTATTATTATCATTATTACTATCATTATTATTATTGTCATTATTATTACCATTATTATTATTATTATTATTATTATTATTATTATTATTATTATTATTATTATTATTATTATTATTATTATTATTATTATTATTATTATTACTATTATTATTATCGTTATTTTTATTATTATTGATATCGTTATCATTACAATCATTGGAAATATCATTGTTATCATTATCATTATTGTTAACATCGTTATCGTAATTGTTACTAATATTTCAAGCATTATTTTCTTTCATTATAATTATTATCATTATTATTGATACTATTTTCATCAACATTGTTATCATTATTACCATTATCATCATAGCCATTATTTTTCATAATGATCGCTATTATCATTATCATTATCATCATTACTATCATTACCAATTACTTTTATGATCATCATTATGATCATCATCCTTACCCTCACCATTTCCTCTTTCTCCCGCAGCTTCAGGAGGTCCGCGCCCACATGGCGAGGGCGGGCACGACACAGGTGGAGGGAGACGGGGACACGGGGGACAGAAGGACCCCCTCCAGCATGCCCTTTACCCCCCTGGGCACGGAGGGGCTTCAGGTGGGTAGCGATGTCTGTCTGATTGGGTTTTTAAGGGGGTATGTCGTTTTTTTTTTTTGTTGGTTTTTTTTTTTTTTTTGATGGGGTATGTCGTTTTTTTTTTTTTTTTCTTCTGTTTGGTATGTTTTTTTTTTTTTTTGATGGGGGTATGTCTGTTTTATTTATTTTTTCTTATATTTGGTATGTTTTTTGTTGTTTTTTTTAATGGGGTATGTCTGTTTTATTTATTTTCTTATATTTGGTATGTTTTTTTGTTTTTATAATGGGGTATGTCGGTTTTATTTTTTTTCTTATATTTGGTATTTTTTTGGTTATTTTTTTCTTGTTTGGCATGTTTTTTTTTGTTTGTTTGTTTTTTAATGGGGTATGTCTGTTCGATTATTATTTTTTTCTTATATTTATGTTTTTTTGTGTGTCGTGGGTACTTTGAATGGGAAGAAACTGTAGAGAAATTGATAGATAAGTAGATAAAGTAGAAAATGAAGAATGTATAATGTTTATCAGTTTGTTGGGGTCTATTTTTGTTGTTCATAATCTTGAGTACTCCTAATTATACCTACATAAATGTGTAAAATGCATTTAGTGTAAGAATACCACACAATCACATGAATACTTTAATAACAGGCCTACATTACTGTTTTCAAAAAAGGCACCATTAGTTCTTCACTTCTGTTGTTCAGTAAAGAATTACTATCGTTCATTAAGGAGTTGCTATCGTTCTGAAATAGTTGACATATATTTCACTGCGGACTGGAATCTTAAAAGGGAAATTATGCAGTCTCGTAAACGATACTTTTATCCGCCTTTTGAAATAATCCTCTTGAGATTCAAAGAAAACGGAATCTGCATAAAAAATTGGAGGTAATACTATGCCATTTAAACCTTAACGAGGGTCCCGGAGTTCACGGAGCTGAGAGCCAATTATTGGTCGTAAAAGATAAGCATTTTGTAATTAGCTCTTTAAATAACCCGACATCTCGAGCCTTAATTTCCCAGAGATGAATTGGTTTTCGTTATATTCACTTATAATTGCTCTCCGGCGATATAAAGTGAAGGACTCGGAATTGTTTTTAAAATAAGATCGACTTTTATATGATGATGGAATTTCTGCTCTGCACGGTTTCCAAGTACTGTTTAATGGCATTTTTTATTATTCACGGAACAATTTTAAAACGATTAACCACTCAGCTTTTAAGAGCGGGTTCACTCACGTATGTGTGTGTAGGTATGTAAGAGAGAGAGAGAGAGAGAGAGAGAGAGAGAGAGAGAGAGAGAGAGAGAGAGAGAGAGAGAAGAGAGAGAGAGAGAGAGAGAGAGAGAGAGAGAGAGAGAGAGAGGGAATAAGAGAGAGAAAAGTGAAAAGAGAGAGAAAGGGAAAGAGAAAGAGAAAGTGAGAGAGAGAGAGAGAGAAATCAAGAGAAAGAGATAGAGAGAGAAATCAAGAGAAGAGAGGAGAGAAATCAAGAGAAAGAGAGAGAGAGAGAAGAGAGAGAGAGAAAAAGAGGAGAGAAAGAGAGAGAAATCAAGAGAAAGAGAGAGAGAAATAAATAAATAGAGCGAAAGAAAGAAAGATAAAGAAAGAGAAAAAAAAAGGAAGACACACACACGCACAAATATAAACACGTACCTGCCTGCACCAAAAGTCACACACACTCCAAGCATAACTAAAGCCTTCTTTTTCCCCTCCTTCGTCTCCCTCCTTCAGGTGAACATCCCGGAGGAGTTCCTGGCTCGCTTCGCCCGCTCCGACTCCCGTCCCGACTCACCCGCACCGACTCTCCTCGTCCACACCTCTCGACTCGCGCCTTTCAGGAGGTTGGTCTGGCTCTGAAGTTTCGGGAATGAAGTTTGGGAATGAAGTTTTGGGAATGAAGTTTGGGAATGAGGTTTCGGGAATGAAGTTTTGGGAATGAAGTTGTTTGGGAATGAAGTTTGGGAATGAAGTTTTGGGAATGAAGTTTCGGGAATGAAGTTTGGGAATGAAGTTTCGGGAATGAATTTGGGGAATTGAAGTTTCGGGAATGAAGTTTCGGGAATGAAGTTTCGGGAATGAAGTTTTGGGAATGAAGTTTTGGGAATGAAGTTTGGGAATGATTTGGGAAGTTTTTGGGAATGGAATGAAGTTTTGGGAATGAGTTTTGGGAATTTAATGAAGCGGGAATTTTTTGGAATGAAGTTGTTTGGAATGAAGTTTGGGAATGAAGTTTCGGGAATGAAGTTCGGGAATGAAGTTTCGGGAATGAAGTTTGGGAATGAAGTTTCGGGAATGAAGTTTCGGGAATGAAGTTTGGGAATGAAGTTTCGGGAATGAAGTTTGGGAATGAAGTTTGGGGAATGAAGTTTCGGGAATGAGTTTGGGAATGGAAGTTTTGGGAATGAAGTTGGGAATGAAGTTTCGGGAATGAAGTTTTGGGAATGAAGTTTCGGGAATGAAGTTTGGGAATGAAGTTGTTTGGGAATGAAGTTTGGGAATGAAGTTTGGGAATGAAGTTTCGGGAATGAAGTTTGGGAATGAAGTTTCGGGAATGAAGTTTCGGGAATGAAGTTTTGGGAATGAAGTTTTGGGAATGAAGTTTTGGGAATGAAGTTTGGGAATGAAGTTGAATGAAGGTTTCGGGAATGAAGTTTTGAAGTTTTGGGAATGAAGTTTGGGAATGGAAGTTTCGGGGAATGAAGTTTTGGGAATGAAGTTTTGGGAATGAAGTTGTTTGGGAATGAAGTTTTGGGAATGAAGTTTCGGGAATGAAGTTGTTTGGGAATGAAGTTTCGGGAATGAAGTTTTGGGAATGAAGTTGTTTGAAGTTTTGGGAATGAAGTTTCGGAATGAAGTTGGGAAATGAAGTTTGGGAATGAAGTTTTGGGAATGAAGTTTGGGAATGAAGTTTCGGGAATGAAGTTGTTTTGGGAATGAAGTTTCGGAATGAAGTTTTTTGGGAATGAAAGTTTGTTTGGAATGAAAGTTTTGGGAATGAATTTCGGGAATGAAGTTGTTTGGAATGAAGTTTCGGGAATGAAGTTTCGGGAATGAAGTTTTTTGGAATGAAGTTTCGGGAATGAAAGTTTGGAATGAAGTTTCGGGGAATGAAGTTTTGGGAGTTGGGAATTGAAGTTTGGGAATGAAGTTTCGGGAATGAAGTTTGGGAATGAAGTTTGGGAATGAAGTTTGGGAATGAAGTTGTTTGGGAATGAAGTTTCGGGGATGAAGTTTGGGAATGAAGTTTCGGGAATGAAGTTTCGGGAATGAAGTTGTTTGGGAATGAAGTTTCGGGAATGAAGTTTGGGTCTGGAGTTTGGGAATGAAGTTTGGGAATGAAGTTTCGGGAATGAAGTTTGGGAATGAAGTTTTGGGAATGAAGTTTGGGAATGAAGTTTTGGGAATGAAGTTTGGGAATGAAGTTTTGGGAATGAAGTTTTGGGAATGAAGTTTGGGAATGAAGTTTCGGGAATGAAGTTGGGAATGAAGTTGTTTTGGGGAATGAAATGAAGTTTCGGGGAATGAAGTTTCGGGAATGAAGTTTCGGGGAATGAAGTTTCGGGAATGAAGTTTGGGGGAAGTTCGGGAATGAAGTTTGGGAATGAAAGTTTCGGGAATGAAGTGGTTGGAATGGGAATGAAGTTTGGGAATGAAGTTTCGGGAATGGGAAGAAGGGAATGAAGTTTTGGGAATGAAGTTGTGGGGAATGAAGTTTCGGGGAATGAAGTTTCGGAAGGAAGTTGTTTGGGGAATGAAGTTTTGGGTCTGAAGTTTTGGGAATGAAGTTTCGGGAATGAAGTTTCGGGAATGAAGTGTTTCCGGGAATGAAGTTTTGGGAGAATGGGAATGAAGTTTGGGGAAAGTTTCGGGAATGAAGTTAATGAAGTTTCGGGAATGAAGTTTTTCGGAATGAAGTTTCGGGAATGAAGTTTTTGGGAATGAAGTTTCGGAATGAAAGTTTTGGGAATGAAGTTCGGGAATGAAGTTTTGGGAATGAAGTTTCGGGAATGAAGTTTGGGAATGAAGTTTCGGGAATGAAGTTTTGGGAATGAAGTTTCGGGAATGAAGTTTTGGAATGAAGTTTGGGAATGAAGTTTCGAATGAAGTTGGGAATGAAGTTTCGAATGAAGTTTTGGGAATGAAGTTGGGGAAGAAGTTTCGGGAATGAAGTTTTGGGGAATGAAGTTTCGGGAAATGAAGTTGTTTGGGAAGAAGTTTCGGGAATGAAGTTGTTGGGGAATGAAGTTTCGGGAATGAAGTTTTGGGAATGAAGTTTCGGGAATGAAGTTTTGGGAAAGTGAATGAAGTTTGGGAATGAAGTTTCGGGAATGAAGTTTTTGGGGAATGAAGTTTCGGGAATGAAGTTTTGGGAATGAAGTTTCGGGAATGAAGTTGAATTGAAAGTTTCGGGAATGAAGTTGTTTGGGAATGAAGTTTCGGGAATGAAGTTTTGGGAATGAAGTTTCGGGAATGAAGTTTTGGGAATGAAGTTTCGGGAATGAAGTTTGGGAATGAAGTTTCGGGAATGAAGTTTGGGAATGAAGTTTGGGAATGAAGTTTCGGGAATGAAGTTGTTTGGGAATGAAGTTTCGGGAATGAAGTTTTGGGAATGAAGTTTCGGGAATGAAGTTTTGGGAATGAAGGTTTTCGGGAAATGAAGTTTTGGGAATGAAGCGGGAATTGAAGTTTTGGGAATGAAGTTTCGGGAATGAAGTTGGGAATGAAGTTTCGGGAATGAAGTTTGGGAATGAAGTTTTGGGAATGAAGTTTTGGGAATGAAGGGGAAGAATTTTCGGGAATGGAAGTTTTGGGAATGAAGTTTCTGGGAATGAAGTTACGGGAATGAAGTTTGGGAATGAAGTTGTTTGGGAATGAAGTTTCGGGAATGAAGTCTCGGGAATGAAGTTTCGGGAATGAAGTTTCGGAATGAAGTTTGGGAATGAAGTTTGGGAATGAAGTTTCGGGAATGAAGTTTGGAATGAAGTTTAATGGGGAATGAAGTTTGGGAATGAAGTTTGGGAATGAAGTTTTGGGAATGAAGTTTTTTGGGAATTGAAAGTTTCGGGAATGAAGTTTTGGGAATTGAGTTGTTTGGGAATGAAGTTTCGGGAAGTTTTGGGAATGAAGTTTGAAATGAAGTTTCGGGAATGAAGTTTTTTGGGAATTGAAGTTTCGGGAATGAAGTTTGGGAATGAAGTTTCGGGAATGAAGTTGTTTGGGAATGAAGTTTCGGGAATGAAGTTTTGGGAATGAAGTTTCGGGAATGAAGTTGTTTGGGAATGAAGTTTCGGGAATGAAGTTTTGGGAATGAAGTTTCGGGAATGTTTTGGGCGGGAATGAAGTTTTGGGAATGAAAGTTTCGGGAATGAAGTTAATGAAGTTTCGGGAATGAAGTTTGGGAATGAAGTTTTTGGGAATTGGGAATGTTTCGGGAATGAAGTTTTGGGAATGAAGTTTGGGGAATGAAGTTGTTGGGAATGAAGTTTCGGGAATGAAGTTTTTCGGGAATGAAGTTTTCGGGAATGAAGTTTTGTTTTCGGAATGAAGTTTGGGAATGAAGTTTCGGGGAATGAAGTTTTTGGGAATGAAGTTTCGGGAATGAAGTTGTTTGGGAATGAAGTTTCGGGAATGAAGTTTTGGGAATGAAGTTTCGGGAATGAAGTTTTGGGGGAATGAAGTTTCGGGAATGAAGTTTTGGGAATGAAGTTTCGGGAATGAAGTTTTGGGAATGAAGTTTCGGGAATGAAGTTTTGGGAATGAAGTTTCGGGAATGAGTTTCGAATGAAGAATGAAGTTTCGGGAATGAAAATGAAGTTGGGAATGAAGTTTCGGGAAGAAGTTGTTTGGGAATGAAGTTTTCGGGAATGAAGTTTTGGGAATTGAATGTTTCGGGAATGAAGTTTTGGGAATGAATGAAGTTTTCGGGAATGAAAGTTTTTGGAATGTTTCGGAATGAAGTTTGGAAGAAGTTTCGGAAGAAGTTTGGGAATGAAGTTTTTGGGAATGAAGTTTGGGAATGAAGTTTCGGGAATGAAGTTTGGGAATGAAGTTTCGGGAATGAAGTTTTCGGGAATGAAGTTTGGGAAGGGAATTTCGGGAATGAAGTTTCCGGAATGAAGTTTTGAATGAAGTTGTTTGGGAATGAAGTTTTTCGGGAATGAAGTTTCGGGAATGAAGTTTTGGAATGAAGTTTGGAATGAATTTCGAATTTTTCGGGAATGAAGTTTAATGAAGTTTCGGGAATGAAGTTTGGGTCTGGAGTTTGGGAATGAAGTTTCGGGAATGAAGTTTTGGGAATGAAGTTTGGGTCTGAATTTTGGATCAAAAGATTGGATCTGAAGTTTAGGTCTGATGTTTGGTTATGAAATTTAAATCTGAAGTTTTTATCTGAAGTTTGGATCTGGAATTTAAGTCTGGTTTGGATCTGACATTTAGATCTGAAGTTTGGATCGAAAATTTGGAACTGAAGTTTGGATCTGAAGTTTGGGTCAAATCTTAGTAAGCTGGGAAAGAGTTTATTTCGAACACAAACAAACACACACACACACTCATACTCACACTCTCACACAAACAAACAAACACACACAAACACACACACTCACACAAACACACACACACACACACAAACAAACACACACACACTCATACTCACACTCACACACAAACAAACACACACACACAAACACACACACTCACACTCACACATAAACACACACACTCACACACACACACACACACACACACAAACAAACAAACACACCACACACACACTCACACACACACACACACACACACACACACACACACACACACACACACACACACACACACACACCACACA